AGGCTAAAGCTCTTGGCAGTACTGGTAAGTAAACAGCTGCTAATACTAATGTTGGCTATGTAGCAATAACAAAACTTACAAAAAGCTCCTTTAATGTATTCTGATTCGATTTATGTAAATAAATGTGCTTCGAAGTGCTTCTGCTTCGATCTCCATAACATTATCTTTATCTGCAAGTACGTGTCTCTACTCTACAACAAGGACCACAATGCAAATGAATCTTAAACTTCTGAAATGTTCCAAAACTGTTCTTACTTTGGAAGAAAAGGGTCTTTAAGAGTGAGAACTTAAATCAGATTTGAACTAGTCAAACACAAGAGTTTATGGGTACAAAGAAAGAGAGATATTGGCATCCTTTAGGGCATCTCTCTGAAGAGAAGAATAATGTGTGAATCTTGGATCTGATGCTAACTGAGCTTACTTTTTAGCTCCCAATGACGCACACACTCATCTCTCTGTGCATGTCATGCAGAGATGTTTAAGCAGCCTGGTCAGACTATTCTTGTAAAAACAAGCATGACTCTTTGTTTTATGTATAATTGATCGTTACATTAAGAGTTAGCTGACATGCACAAGACTGTCATTTACAAAGTCAGGGAGATGCACCCTGTGACTTGCTGGAAGCTTTTTCTCTCCGGGGGGAAGATGATGTGTGCAATCGATTTTGTTTTCAGAGTGATTCAACCTGGAGTTGATGTACAGTCATTTCCTGGTTCCAAGATGATGGAAATATCAACTGTTAATAATAATAGCAATAGTATGTAACGTAATGTTTAATATGTATCATATTTGCACTGAAATTGGTTTTGGTATCAAGACGAAAACAATACTTTTTCATTCTAGTTTTTCATTAGAGTTCATAGTTCATGTTGCAATGCTTTTTGGGAGTCATACATTATATATATTGTATATATTTATTGTTCTGTATCTTTAACGTTAAGTTGTCAATATGTCATGTTGTCAGTGTCTTTTTTAAGGTAGCCTTGTTTAATTCAATGAGATTTATCTTGGATTTTTTGAATGTATCATTGTAATGTGTTTGTAAGTGCAACCTTAATTTATGTGTGTTTTTTTTGGAAGAAATAGTAAATTTACCGTAAACAGTGAACAAACAAGCCTCATGAAGAACTGGCAAAATGTGAGGCTTGCAGAAAACGTTAATATTAAGAAGCCTGAGTGTTAAAGTGTCCAATATAGTTGGAAAAGTTTCCCTTAGTTTGAACGGGTAATATCTGATAAACATCTGATTTAAAAAAGTCTATCTAAACAAGCGCTCAATGTCAACTCTCAATGGTACTTTTCAATTATCGATGCTATGCACACAATTTGGTCAATACTCAAAAACTATTCAGCTTCAAAATTCTTAGTTCTATCAATACTTTTTTAACACCCCAAGCTCTGAATTTGCCCAAGTAAAAACAACTGTTTGTATATCCTCCTGTACTGATTTCACTACACTCTATTATATAAAGCCAGTGGGTATCTAATCTCTATTGTGTGAACACTGGGAGCCATGTGGGGGATGCCCCCAAACCAAAACAATGGCCTGACTACCAGCAGCAGATAAATTTAATCTTTCTACACATAAATAATCCTTTTACAACAGAACCAGGACACCTGAAGTTGGTCAGGAAATTTAGTGGGTCAAGCTCTAGACAGAAAAAAGAGGGAGGGAGGAGAGGCAGACAGAAAGAGAAAGGGAATTAATAAGTGGTCGTGTCCAGGCCAGGCAGTCAGTGGCTGATATAAAAGAGGTTGTGGCTTCCCTCAGGGAGTGTGTTCTAGGCCAGCAATGGCTCGCCTGGGGGCCTGTCATCGTCTGCTGTGTCCATTCAGCAAACCACAGCACACTTCCTCTGACATACACACTCGCAAACACTTACTCAAACCCTCTTGACGTGTGACATCTGTCTGGGTGAAAGGGGTGGAAAGACTCCCAATGGTGCGTGAATGAACTGAAAACAGAGAAGTCCGGCGAGATTTCCCCCCCGACTTCACATAATATGGACAAAAATAGGTTTGGACACTTTCACTAATTAATATGACACAATACTGATTCTACCACAGAGGAGTTATGAAAGGTTTTCCATCTGCTGTTTTGACCAACTAGAGTCAGAGAGGTCATTCCTTGGAAAATCCTCTGGTACACAGGAAGTGATGTTTTTTACATTTAAGGTTTGTTTAGACTAAGAAGTGGAGGTTAAAACATGATAATAATAATAATAATAATCATAACAATAAGAAGAAGAAGAAGAATAAAAAGAAGAAGAAGAAGAAAAGCCGAGATTCTGGATGATTAATGAGAATGAGAAATGCAGTGCAAATCACATGGACAGAATACATATTAAGAGTCTGACCGATCAATCGGTTTGCCAATATTAGCTTTTTGAGGAAATATCAATATTGTTGTATATGCCAGGGGATTGATGACAAGAAACTACAGTGCAGAAATGCAAAAGATATATCTGTGTAAAATTAGACACAGCACGGCCAATACATAGTTCGTCCATCAGAGATTTCGATGTTTATTCTTTAATTCTACCAAATGAAAAGTAATATAAAGAGTAATAGTACTAACAATCAGTCGATGAACAGATAAGTTAATCGAGAGAAAAATAATCGCACCTATTTTGAAATATTTATTAATCATTTTAGTCTTTTGTTAAGTAAAAATGCCAAATGTTCAGTTTTCCAGTTTTGCAAATGTTAAGATTTGATGCTCTTCTTTGTCATCCATGATAGCTAACTGAATATCTTTTTGGTTTTGGACTGTTGGTTGGACAAAACAAGACATTTGAAGACATCACCTTGGGTTGTGGTAAAATATAACAGGCGTTTTATTCACAATTTTCTGACATTATACAAACAAAATGGTAAATCAGTTAACTTAGAAAATAATCATCAGTTTAATCAATAATTAAAATAATTGTTGGTCATTATATTATTGGTTGAATTTTTAGTACTAATTGTTACAGATGCTAGTAAGCATACAGTAGGTAAAGATTAGCTGAGTTTAATGACTAATGAATAAATAACAGTCTTTCTTCTGTAGTTCTAATCTTTCTTTAAAGCTGCAGTCATCAGTATTTTTTATAATATCAGTGGATCATATGACTGTGTAATATGAAAGGGGTTGCTCATAGTTACAATTTAATAGAGAATTATAACCTGACCCTGCAGTTCAGCTCAGCTCCACAAAGATTATCTTGCATCAAACGGCAGACCAAGTTAACGGTTAGCCAGTGAACATTGCGAAGCATTTAGCAGCTAAACATTGAGATAAATATCCAGGTGTTCAGCTGCTAAGTGCTTCACATGCACTGGATAAACAAAGCAAAAAGAAAAGTAAATATGGATTTTGATTGCTCTGAATAGATGTTAATGTTGCTCTGTATCTGCTGGATGTGTAATTGTTTCCTATCAAGTTTGCAATATTAACTTCATATGGACATATGTCAAAACTCAATGCCGCAGTGACTCGGTATCGGAAAGTGGAAAGACAGGCCAGCCAGACCTGCGCTAGCTGGTTAGCATGCTAACTTCAGTCGAGGAAAAGAAGTGATAGAAATAGATTTTGACACCAAACGTGTAACTTTTCCTCTCAACTGTTAAGTAAATACCTAATTTTAATGCTAACTTTAGCTTGTAGCAATAGCAAAACTAAGTATGAAATGGTCAATAACTGATAGAAATACAAGCAAACCAGAGATTTTCTTTCCACTGTTGGAAACAGTTCTCGGCAAGCAAAGGAATAAAGTTTGATGCTGAACTCGCAACGTTTTCTCTAGACTGGTAAGTAACAGCAGCTATTGCTAATGTTCGCTATGTAGCAAGAGCAAAACTTACAGATATTGCCTTTACAACAGCTAGGTAGTTAACATTAGCAAGTTACGTGACAACAGATATGATTTAAACACAAAATGACATTCAATCTATAAATAGTGCCCAGAATCCTGTGCTAGCATGGCTAGTGCTCTTTAGCATCCCTACTTCCTTCCTCAACAATATAAAAAGTTTGTGAACATATCACCAACAACTGCCTAGCATGAAAATGCTAAATCCTCCTAATTGAATAAATTCTGGTACTGAGTGTAAAGTGAGTGTAAACTGCTGCTGGTGATTTACAGTAGACAGTAGTGTTGTGTTTACAGTGAGAGCCTGTAGCCGACAGGACAGATATGAACTCACTGATCGGGCCAAGTCAAAGACAGTCCCTCCATTCAGAAACAGCGGAGGACGCAGGGTGATTCCCCCGCCCTCCTTCTCCACCCCCTCCCTCCTAACACACACACACACACACACACACACACACACACACACACACACACACACACACAGAGTCATGACTTCATGACTCCTGACTCCAGTTTTCTGAACACTTCATGTATGATAGCTCCTCAGGAACATGGCTGAAATATGACATAAGTTGCCTATTTACGGCAGATTTCACAAAAATTAGCAAATAAAACATTTACTTAAATAAAAAGTATTTTTTAATTAAGCTTTAACATGCGGGCGACAACTTAAACTAAGGTAAAGGGTATTTTAAAAAAGTAAAATATACTGAAATGTGCGTTTTTCTTGTATTTGATGCTAACGTTTCACTTCTGTTAACTTTTATTCTTGCTAATTGTGTTTAGCTCCACTATAGCTCCTTATTTGGTTAAACCCGACTTTATTCTACTTTTAATAAATATCTAACTCGACTCGACTCTGTTCAGCTCCTCGGATGTGTGTTGTTGTGGACCGGGAATACCAGCTAGCTGCGCACCGTCCAAACCGTTACGGAGACACGGCGAGTGTGGAGGGATGCTGCGTTTGACCCGTCCGTTAACTCCCATGAATAACCGTTACTCTGTGCTCAGACGCCGGCCATGTCCCCGTCAGGTCTCCGTACGACCTCTGACACGCTTCTAATCTTCCAACCCCCCCCCCCCCCCCCCACACACACACACACACACACACACACACACACACAGTGTTCAGGTTCGGCTACTTACGCCCTTGGTCTGGGGAAGCCCATGGATAACAGCACATCAAGGTTGGAGCCACATTTCACTGAGCCCAGCCGGTTCTGCCGGAGCCTCCGCGGGAGGATTTTACTGTACAGGTCCTCTTTGGCAGCCATGGTCCGGGCGGGTCACCCACAGTCCGCTATAAGCCCAATACAGTCCGCCAGCCACCAGACCTCCGGCTAGTCCATCAGCTTCAGCGGGGTCCGCATGAGTGGATGGGTAACGGCAACAACACTGAGCGGAGCAGAGAGCAGCGCTGCGCGGCCAGGCAGATCCCTGCTACTCCGCCCACTGGAAGAAACAGCAAATTAGATCTGTTCTCTGGGTTTATATAGAGGCACAGTACAGAACAGAATATAATAGATGGGATTTACATGTAATTTTAAGTTTGAGCTGATGAGTTTACCCTCAACTATACTGTGAGTGTGTGTAATATTTATTCTTTTTAATAGACTACTACACAATATACATATACATATGACAAAACACTATGGGATAAAAGTTGCTTTTTAATTTGTGTACAAAAATTACATTCATTATATAATTATAATAATAATGGTATTAAGTCTATACAATTGTATCACACGTAGAAAGATAATTACATCATTTTTACATTGTTGTGCATAATAAATTTGACACAAGAGCGTCAACTCACCACACCTAATTATAATGATTATTTGCAACAAAACTGCAGCAACTTGGCGATTCACTGATGTTCTAGGGACCTGGTGTTTAACTATTATCATTTGGTCAATTTAGTAAATCAAGTCAATTATTAAAGTCCTGATAGAAACCCTGATGGTCTTTTATGGCGTTCAGATCATTTCAGAACTGATCATGATCTTTTCTGGCAATTTTACTAATAATAAACTCTATGAAATGACACTGGGACTCTGCGAGGCACACTGAGGGCCACACTGTGCCGTGAGTTGGCTTTGAGGGCTGGTATGAGGTTAGTCTTGGCCACCAACAGCGCTGGCAGATGGGTTGTATGGTGCGATGACACAGAAGACACAGCCTGCCTGCTGGAAAGCTTGTCTCATCTCCACCTAGTGGAACAAACACAGACAGTATCAGACAGGTGCATGAATACACACAAACTAATACAGAATTTACAACTCAGAACAGCTTAATTTTTTAATGAAGAAAGTTAAAAAATGACAAGAAAATGAAACTTTACAGCTGCTTTTTCACCATTTGGTTGAAAAGAGAAGTAACCTTTGATGTTAAAGTTTTACAGATGGAAAATTTTGCCATAACCAAAGTATGAGGTAGAATATATTTGAATCAGCTGCAGACAGTGTAACTTCTCTACTTTCTGGTCATGTCCGTAAAGTTTTGCCAAAAGTGCTCCAGGTGAACATTTGAACTAGAAAACTGGAGATTTATTTCAGAATCTGGAAAGGCAGCACTAGAAAGATTAAAAACAATTAAATTGACATCATATATGAAATCTTTAGGATAAAAAGAATTACTTCTTATATTAGACTGCAACAGGACAAATTTATGGGAAAGATGGATAGTGTATATCACACCTGTCCAACATTTGTTTATTTATCTTTCATTCTTTTTTTATTGTATTGCTTTATGATCCATTTAAAGCCTTCTAGGAGACTCAGTTGCAAATTATTATTATTTTCAAAATAGATAATACTAGAATTAAGTACATTTTGAAATCCCACACAACACAATCATCTGCAGCCTCTCCATTCGGACGGAAACTGTCCAACTGTCCGTCCCATGAGTGGGCAGCCACAACACAGGTATGTCAAAACGAATATTCAGCTCCCAACCCGCGGCCTCAGACTGGGCGTAGATACGGGAATGTCAGCTCACCAGTCTCGCCTGGTCCAGACAGAGACCCACCACAGCTCCCCCGCTGCCTGGCAACTTCACTGCTGAGCCAAACTGCAAGAAACAGCAGAGACCTTATGAATGCATAAACAGAAAACACTCCTGCAGGCGCACACAGAGGGAGATGGAGAAAAAACACTGGTTAATAAAACATGCTCTGCTCCTTGCAGGTACAGGAATCTCTGAGCACACACCTTCCTCGCCAGATGAACCATCTTGAGATTCCCAGGACCCAGACAGTCGTCAGTGTAGACAGACCTGTGGGATGTGTTGTTGCTTTAGCTGTGAGTGTAACCATAATACGAATGCCTCAAATCAAAATGTACAGTTCACCTCCTCAGCTCAAAGTTCTGGTCCATCAGTTGTGCCAGGCGGCTCCAGTCTCTGTGCTGCAGAGCTGTCCTGAAGGGAAAACACCTTGAATCAGTTTCACCTGTAATGTTCTGACCCTCTGACATGCAACAACAAAGGCTGCAAGGCCACGTCAAAACCTAGTATAAGGCTGGACCGCGTTGTATTTGTATTCAGCCTGGTGTCAGCCGGTTTCAGCCCTTCACGCCCACATATACAGCATTAACCAGCAGTCACTTGCAAGCCGCTGCTCTTCATCTGCTACAATCCTCATTTTTATAACCGCAACGTCGTCTGACAAAATCACCAAACACATCAGTTAAAGACAAAGACTGAGCTGTGACTTCAGTTGTATTTACTTGTAAAATGATAATTCAGAGGGGAAGCTAGAAGCTTATTCACGTCAGCTGCTGTGGGTCAACACAAAGGAGAGGTGTGCCTGCAGATGGAAAGCACAACCTCGCACTGAAGATTTGCTGGATTTGTCACTAGGTGGTTTTTTGGGGGAAAGAAAAGTCACTACAGAGGTCGGAAAAGTCAGTTAATGTAGTGACGAAGGCGTGAAGTTGGCAACACTGCTTGTGCTCGCACCAAATCATTTCAATCAATGTGGAAACTCCAACAATCAGCCGATGCTGCAACTTAATCACTCAGTCAGTCAGCGACATTCATGTTCATTGAGTGTGCCCCCAAAATTCAGAAAGCCCACCGCCACCTTGAGACTGTATGTGACAAAACCTCCACTGCTATTTATTGCATTAATTCCTGATCAGCAGTCTACATCTACCAAACCAACCTGGCTTGATCAGTTAGCTCAGCAAAAGACTTCATGGCATCAACGACCAGAGGCTCCCCTGTGGAGAGACAGATGAAGTCAATCCGTCCATTAGCTGTTGACATATTTCACAATCTATGTTGACAAAGTTCACCATCACAAATATGACTAATAATCCTCTCCTTTCAAAAACACCCGATGTAATGTTTGACATGAAGAGGTACCGTTGAGCCAGCGCTGTCGCACGTTGCTGTGGATCCGTCCAGAGTCACTGGGGTCGCTCAGGTAGGCGAGCCAGAACAGTGGAAGGTTACTCATCTCCATGGAAACATAATTCCCTGAGAATGGAAAACATACACCCTTTAGAAACAAGAATAATGTATCATTGATTTAGTATCTACTGACAGAGACTTCACTACCATAGCCCTGCTCCTCCATGAGCTTCTTACTGAAATCCATGTAGATTAAACCTTCATACACCTGCAAAGGTAAGGGGACAATCACAGCCAGTTACTGAAGGTGTAAAAAGAAAATGTTGTGCGGTGGTTACAGTTTGTGAAAAATATATTATATTACTGACCTGAACAACTCTGTCCTGCAAACCAGCAGTAATGAAAAGTTCATCCGTCTCCACGTTGAGGATGAAGTTGGCTCGGACGGGTTTAGGAAGATCCTGGAGAGTAAAACTGTCATTTTTAATATCTTCTGTTTTTCTTCAGATAAGACTTTTAAATTTATTCCTAATTTCTGTCACATTTAAAAAAGGTTTTCATATTTAGACACAAAAGTTAATGTGTTCTTCAGGAATACAAAAAGAATTTTCATGACCAAAAAGTATTTATTTTGCATTTATTTATGTATTGAAATTATTTATTTCTGCACTTTTTTATTTATTTATACTTGCGTCATTCTTTTGTCCTTCATAAGCTTATCAATAAACTATATGTGGATTCTGAAACATCAGTGTAGTGGTTGTAAACTAATAAGATTATCACCAATACGACCAGTAAGGTCTCTACACTGCTGATTTCTAACACAGACCAGGAGTGAATCATTTAAACATCAGCAGATTAGAGAAGAAGTAAAAGACAGATGGAAAAATGAATAAGAAACAACATCATCATGGTAAATTATTAACATCCTTACATTGTCTGTGATGTTGTAGAACTTCATGAGACACTTCAGAGTAGCTGAGACTATGGCACTGCACAAAAGAGAAAAAGTTATTAAATGAAAAGTTGGAAAAACATTTAAACTGCAACCTTGGAATTGTGTTTTTTTTTTGGTTTCTTGATTTTCTACTATACTATTTACTATATTTACTATGTTTGAAAGTCAGTAAAATTTACAAACAATAAATAAAAACATTAGAATACAGAGGTCAGAACTATTTACCTGCTTCCAGCCAGGCCCTTAAAACAGAGACAAAGACTTTCATCAGTAGCGTGTTTTATGTGAAGGGTCATTATACTCACACACTATTTGCTTTTATATTTGAACACTTCACACTGTTGTGCTGCTGTGAACTGTCGAGCTTTCACTGTGAGAAAACAAGTATTTGAACGAGTCCTCACCACCTGCCGAGGAATGTTGGTGTCGTACTTCAGCGTGAAGTTCTGCTTTGTCAGAGCAATTCTGCAGGAAAGAGTAAAAATCAGGCGCTACATGAACATCAGCAGCGAAAGAGACACAGTGAGAATAAAACAAGTAAAAAATGAAAGTAAATCTCTTGAGACATTATGGGATTTACCAAAAGTCACTTGGACAATTCACCTCATGAACTGCCCATGTACAGTAAGTCCAACAGTCAACAGTCCAATAATCTTATATATATTATATTCAACACTGTTAAAATGTTTCTTTCTACACTATTTACTTTAAGTAAATTTAGCTGAGAATATTTCTGCACTTTGATATCAATAAAATTTGGAAATTTTCATAACTATTGTATCTTCAATTTGAAGAGACGCCCTGGATGATGAGGACAGATTTAAAGCGGTATCCATGGTGATGAATATGAACAGAGCCTGTGCTAAACACTGTTTCAACACCAAGATTTGCTCAGTTTGAATGTTTGACTCTGCACAGCACTACAGAAACATAGTCACACAGCCTCTTGTCATTCATGCCAGTGATTAATAATTTAGCTTGGAGTCATCTCGGCCGCTCCTCTCACCCTTGTTTGGAGCAGAACTGGTAGAACTTCTTGCAGGTCGCCTGCAGCAGCCGCAGACCTCCCAGGTACCTGCAGCGAAGGACCAACACAAAGGTTTAAAGTTCGCACGTGACCAACACTGAAAAACATTTCAGCTCATTAAAGCTCGCTGTTTACACACCCTTCCTTCCTGCTGATGCAGAACAGATCCTGCAAACTTCCAAACTCCGTGGGATCATTGAGTGGATGAGGGACTAAAACCTACGAGAGATGCACGTGACGTTTAAACAGAATAATACTGATGAAGCTGTTTGATGTGTGTGTGTGTGTGCATTGTGTGTGTTTGTGTGTGTGTGTTACCAAAGTCTGGCTCTCCACTAGAGTGACCTCGGCCCAGAAGTTGGAGATGCTCATGGCGATGGTTTTCCCATTGAAGCCGTCTGAGGGATTGCCCATTAACCCAACCCTGCGAGCGATCGATCATATATTTGGATCAATCCCTTCAGTGTGTGTCAGGCTGTGTTTTAACTTTGAGGTGCTTTGGTTGTGAATTGTGAAGGAGAGAACAGTCTCGTTTCTGAGAACTGGTAAAACCACAGTAATCTGAACCGGCAGTTTGAGCCGGTGTTTTCTTACCTGGCGTACGACCTGCATGTGATTGGTTTAGCAGGATTGTCTTGTTGCTTGGTGGAGTAGTGGGTGAGCCACCTGGTGTAGTCTGACAGGCCCTGAGATGTCAAGAAGGAAGCATGTTGTTAGAAGAAATTTCATGACTTTTATAAACTGTACATGTCGATTTATCAGCTGTATTATTGAACAGCATCATATTCCTATTTAAAGACCCTATAGGCCCCAAATATCAGCTGCGGTGTTAATGTAATATTCATAATTTCCACCCCACTAGACAGAAACAACACGTTTACTGAAGCTGCTTTACACATTTTGAGGTAGATTGCGTCCATTAAAAACTGTATTCTTCTCCATGTAAATGCTTCTATAACATGGTGGATATTAGTCTGAACTGACAGCAGACATTTGGAGTAAAAGTAGAAAGAAATTAAGAGCTGAGTGGCCAGTTTGCAGCTGATGTCACATTATGTGATTTCTGGGTAACAGCAGCTTTCAAACTTTAAAATATTCAAACATTTTCTCTTCCTTTTCTCCACTTGAAAACTGCTCAGTGCTGCTTCATCACACCGCAATACATCTAGCTTTGAAAGTTAAATAGTACATATACGAAGGAAATGCTGTGTAAGGTAAAGATACAGACCACTTGTCCAATAAGCTGGAAACCAGTAGGAAGCTTCATCCCGAACACGTCGAGTTGCTTTTCATTGATGAGCCACTCCTGAAGAGAGAGGAGCCGTAAAGGTGGCTGGTTATTACTTTAGTTAATTAATTGAATTGAATTTTGGTGGAAAATGTGACTCACTGGAATTTTGCTTAAAAACTTATGGTTAAATGAATTTCAAGAGTAATGTAAAATGGGTGTAATTTAATACTGCTCCATAAAACAAGAAAAAAATGTGATCATTTCCTCTGAAACAACACTTAAAGGTCCCACATTGTCTAAAGGTCTCTGTCCATGTGTTGTTTGATTATAGATCAGGTCTAGGTTCTATATTAATACTGTGTCAAAGCCTCAGTCCACAGAGAAATGCACACAGCCTGTATTCAGAAACTGAGCCTTAAAACCAGCCGTCAGGACTTCTGGAACTTTGTGATGTCACAACAAAGTAGTCAGCACTCGGCCACGCCCCAAGCCCCGCCCACCTGGACCCACCATCCAAACCTTGCAGGAACTGGTTTCTCTGAGTGTTTTAACTGAAATCTGCTATCTTTTCATTTGATCACTCAGAAAACAGTCAATCAGAAGAGAGGCTCAGAGCCTCCTCTCTTCTGATTGGCTCACCGACCTGTTGTTACTACATCTCCAGAGAGAAGCCTGAGAGAGGAGATGTGAAACTACACTGAGATGGTTTTTGGTTATTAAAACCACAAATATATCTTCTTATGGATCAACACTTCAAATAAAACACAGAAGAAGAAAATATGGAGCTTTAAGTTAACCATTAATCAAAAAGCCGCCATGTGTAATTTTGCCTGTATGAAATAAAAACCATAGGATGCTTTCCTCTCACTCACGAACCCAGAACTGTCCGAAGGTCCTGTCTGTGGCTTGAGGCTGCAGGCTGAGGAAGTCAGACAGGTAGGACAGCGTGTCCCTCTGAATGCAGTAAAACACCACGCTGGCCAGACGCGACGCTGTCAGCCCGTCCTGGGGTTTCTCCAAGAAGCGAGTTATTCTGATTCATGAAACTACAATAGATTAAAATCAAATCTGCAACATGGTGCCAAGTATCAGACTTACTGTATGTCAATAAATGTCAGGAATATAACACAAAGAAATATTTCTGTCGTTGCTCTCACCTGTGGGTGTCAGGGCACACCTCCACGATGCCTCTGGAGCTGCTTTTCTCACTTTCCTCCAGCTCGTAGTAAATGATCAACTCTCCAGGCTGCAGCACAGACACAAACACCCAGGCTACTGCATCTTGCTCATGAATTAATCTCCACAAAAAAAAGCCCTGAACGAACATTTATTTGATCTTTTACACGCAAAATATGTCTGTCATTTTGATTAGATTCAGATTGCTGTTGTTTGAGCAGGACTTAATTAGGCTTAAACACTTAAACAACTTAAACAAGGCTTAATTACACTGCTGACGAGGGGATTTTATTTTTAGGCTAAACTCTGCAGTCTGCTGCTGTTTATTAGTAAATATCCTGTGCACACATTACTGTATGGTTTGATGGTGTGTATGTGAATATACAATAAGCACAAGGCGCTGGTGTTCACTTATGTGGTAGCAAATCTCACCTTTGACCTGAAGAAGCGGATAACTTGAGCGATATCAAAGTTCTGGTCTGCGCACAGCATGTCACCTGCAATCTGCTCACACAGACAGGAAGTCCTCAGTTCCAATAGAGTACACTTGCTCCACACAATGAAGAGTTTACTGAGCAGTTTTGTGAATGGACAACAGATTTATCATACCACCATGATGTCGTCCTGCAGCTTGCGGCTGCGTATGGCCAGCTCCAGGTCGGCCACGGCTCCCAGACGGTCCTCCAGCGTTGTGCTACCATCGTTCACCACGTTTTCCACAGGGAAGTCATTGGCTGTGGCCCAGCGCTCGTAGTACTTATACCTGGTCAGAGCAGAACAAAATTCAATAGTCAAATTATTATAAGTTGGGTCTTTCTAGAGTCAGAACTTTAAATAAATAGGTTTGTTATGTACTCACTTGTCTGCATTAGTGACCAAATACACCTCCGTGAACAACTGCCGCCTGCAGAGAAGTCAGAGCTGTAATTAGCATTAGCATTCACCTGTGTGGTTGATTATAATGACTTTGGATGGGAAAAAATAAAGGCCTGAGACTTTTCACTGTCACTCACATGTTGACAGTTTCCCACCAAAAGTCAAGGATCTTCTTTCCTCCAGTGCCAGGAAGCAAGGCCTTCGGTACCCCAGTCAGGTGGCTGTATAAGCCTGTGTCATCATTCTGGGAGAGAAAAAGGAAAACAGCTGGACGATGGCACATCACCACAGCAACAAACCACACCTTGTCAGTAAATATGCTGTTATTGAAGATGATAATCTAGTTAATAGGTTTTTTACTGCAAGCAAATATTATAGGTGATACTGAAACTAAACTCAAGGTTTACTTACATGAGTATTCCTGTAATATACAGTAAACATATTCCCAAGATCAAGGATGAGCCTCCACACTCTGTAGCTGATTTACTGTATTATGTCAATGCTTATTCTATATAATGTAATTCTCACATTTTCTGCTCTTATTTTATTATTATTATTATTGCTGTTGATTGTATTTTAAATATTTTTAATACATTAGTTGGGCATCATTTTTATGTAGTCACGTTATTTTCTTGTATGTTTATTTTGTATTCTTTATAATTGTGTGATGTTTCAACATACTTAGGTGGAGGCTTTAAATAAATAATAAACCACTTTTTTTATTTTCTTTGTCATTTCCTGTGTATTTTAAATTGTGCAAAAGTAAATAAAATAAACTAAGCTAATACAATTTTATGTGAGGTCTACACGTGGAATATTTACTGTCTTAGGTTTTTGCAATTGCTGCCAGATTATGACATTTAACTCAAACTGTATTTTGGGATAACGTAAGGCGAAAGGTTGCCACATTATTCGTTATATTACCTTCAATAATTCGGCATAAATAACGCAAAATGTCCATATTTCGAGCAACGCTCCCGTTCAAATTCCTAAGATTTTACTCCACCTCAGCGCTCGGTAGGGGGCGGTGAAGACCACTCTGGACTAATGATAAAAACTTAATTTTACGCAAATTACGGAATGGTCGTTAGTTGACGCGTAAGCCGGATGCACGAGTGCATCTTTCCGACTCCGTAAATGGCCGAAGTAACGGTTTGTGAGCACACGAGCTAGCTAGAAGAGTAACGCGGTAGAAAAGTGGCAGATTCTTGGAGGCAGTTATGTGTACGACCACTCCACGACTAGCGCGAACTTTGCACCCTTTCTGCCGCAACGTTCAAGCTACGTACCTTAATTTGTGTCTCTAAGAAGGTGCCGTGTCCGGCCACCAGCAGTATACAGATCATGTGTAGCAACTCAGTTTATCCCGATGTTCCTTTGAATCAACACAAACAGACAGAGCAGCCAACAGTTGAGAAATATCTAGTTTCTGCGAGAGCTTGATTCTCCCAGCGTCAGTGAAGAGATGCACTTCCGGAACGAACCTTCAGAATAAAACATATACTTATGACCACGTAGAATCGTTGACCTTCACATAAGAAGCATCGAGATAAATAGTGTGTAAAAATCAGTACGACATCTTTTTAACTAACTTACCAACTTTAATAAACACAACTGAAAGTGGTTTATAACATACAGTATATTATTTGATTTTTATTATAAAGACATACAGTACATAGCCTACCTAATGCAATGCTTACAACCCCTGTTTATTTACTTAGTTACATTGTTGCAATGTAATTATTGTCCCCAGTGAGGTTTCATGAAACAACATACAAAAATACAGAGCAAAAAGAGCTTGACTATGAACTGGATGAAAAACTTGGTATTGACTAATCAAAGTGATATTGATAAAAGGTGAAAACAAGTCAAAGCATGAATACGATGGGGGGGTGGGGGGGGGGGGGTTTCAGAGACATTAACATGAATGAATTTTGATACAGAGAAGCAAAGTACTGCAGAGATGAAGTAAATGAAACTGACATGAGAAGTTGGCCACGCTGTAGAGCTTACTGTACTGGAGGTTAATGAACAATCATAATGTTGGTGGAGGAAGGCATTCAATGAGGGCCTTACTGAACCGATTTGACTTCTCAGACTGAACTTGATGTTGAATCTTTTCCTCTCTTTTCAGATGCGCTGTGTTATTATGATTGGGTTGGATTCACCAGGCGAAGGATTTCAATTTCGTAAAAAGCTTCAAAGATAATATTACAGGTCGTCATTTAGCAAAGAAGCTGGGTTTGAATATTAATGACAATATTCAATTGTTTTCCCCTATTACATGCACACACGATCACAAATAAAGTATCTCAAAGTGTTTCAAGTACTCTTTTGGCCCACATGTGGTTGTCTTCTAATACCCGGTGGAAACAGGCTTCTCACTGGGGGTCTGTGCTGGATGATCCCACAATGCCATGCTGTCGCAGCAGGTTCCTCAGGATCTGATTCTTGGACTTCCAGTCTTCCACCTGAGCAACAGCAACGAATATAACACAGTGGTAATGTAGTAATACTGACTAATCAGCTGACTTATGACTTTCTGTGACTAACTAAGTCATGTCTAACTGTGGAAATAGGTTTACATTCACAGCATTTGATTTTATAAGTAATATCCCAACTTTCAACAGACAAATCCAGGTTGAAGGCAAAAGTAAACACCATTATTTATTTTAAAAAAAAGGGTTAATTTTAACAAATTTTGCCAAGAAACAAATCTACAAGTTGTAACAGGCTCTGCTCCAGGAAATCAATTACATTAAGGCTACAACAATCAATCAATCAATAGATTAGTTCATCAAAAGAAAACTGATCTGCAACTATTTTGACAATAGACTGTTAAGAGTCAATTTTCCGGCAACAATGTCAAACATATTTTGATTCCAGCTTCTCAAGTTTGAGGTTTTATACATTATAGTAAATTACATTACATTTGTATATGTTATTGTATTTAGTATTTCTAATTTAGATCCTGTTTCTATTCTTATTTTATTTCTTTATTAGATTTTTCCCTTTGTGCTGCTGTGTCAATTTGAATTCTACAGGGGATCAATAAAGGTACATCCTATCTCACCTTATCTTATCTTTGACATCGCCTTGGGCTCACAGAGATGATGAAATTTTCAGTTTTCTGACACTTAGCCCAAAAAAATTAGTCGATTTATAGGCAGATTAGTTGATAATGAAAACAATTGTCTGTTGCAGCCCTAAAATCAATTAAGACTTTAATTCATCCATGTCTTTGCATTTTCAGTGACATCTACTCTGGGACCAGTAAAGGTCTGCCAGTGGTGAGCCGCTGATCTCCTGATAACTGGGCTGGGTGCTCTCTGTGTACGTTTTCTGGCTGAATGTCCAATTTCACAATTTTTATCTAATGATGCATTTTGTCTCACTACAATGCAGTAGGGCTGGGACGATTATCCGACGTAATCGACATTGTCGATTATAAAAATTATTCGACGTGGAATTTTAGTGTCGAGGCGTCGTGTAAAACCACACAGGGTAAATGTTCATAGAAAAAAACTGGAACTTTCTAATGGGACCGTTTATATCCATCGTCTTTGGTTTACCCGGATACAAGCGCAGCGCAAGGGCTGGGACAACGCTGTGACGTAATTGAAGTCATTGACTACATGAATGATTTGCGTCTGTGTAATCTATTTGAACAACATGTCGGCGTCTACCAGCAGTACGACGGAGCGTGTGGAGCAACATGCGGCAAAAAGGCTCGCACACAGTCCCCCAAAGTTTGGGAGTACTTTAATCTTGACACAGTGCGGTAGTCTGCAGACTCTGCTATTAAATGACTAACTGGAAAATAATTGCAATAAAATTACTGTTAGGTTAATAAAAAAAAATAATCGTTAGATTAGTCGAATAATCGAAAAAATAATCACTAGATTAATTGTTTAAAGAATAATCGTTTGGGACAGCCCTACAATGCAGAGATCATAGATTTAATGTTAGTTAATCTATTATCATAAAGTAGAAAGTTTGACACCCACACTGTTGAGGTTGGACAAAATTCAGGGAAACACTCCATCGCTGCCTTTTCTTGTTATGTGGCGGAGAATGATTAAACCTGTTCTCATTTTAAATTTGGTAATGACACTTTACAGCTTTGGTCTCAAATATACCTTGATCAGTGTGCTGGTGTTCACCATGAAACACGTGCTGACATACCTCCTGTCTCAGTAGCTGGTTGTCAATCCTGAGACGATCAAGAGTGCTGATGTCCTCCCCTAGCTTCATGTTGCTCTGTCTGAGTTCCTTGATGTACTCACAGGCTTTAGACAAAATTCCTCCTTTACTCTGAAACAAAAACATGAGAGAACTTCAGGAGTTACAAGACACTAGAATCACCTCCTCGTGGTTGTATGCCTCTGCCACTAGTTTCAGGTTACATCCCTGTTTATCCGGAATCATATAAAATATGAACCATTTGTGTGAGATTTTGTCATAGTTGCTCTGTGGTCTTGAGTAATGGCTAAGAAAGTGTTTTCTGAAGTCACTGTGACCTTGACCCTTGACCTTTGACCACCGAAGTCTAATAAGTTCGTCCTTGAGTCCAAGTTGACATTTATGCAAAATTTGAAAGGATTCCCTTGAGGAGTTCTGGAAATATTCACAAGGCCAAAACCATGTTTTTGAGGTCTTTGTGACCGTGACTGTGACCTTTGACCTTCTACACAGTTTGTCTTTGAGTCCAGGTGAACGTTTTTGCCAAATTTGAAAAAGTTCCCCTTAAGGCATTATTGCATTCGCAAGGACAAAACTGTATTTTGTGGAGTCACCACGATCTTGACCTTTGACCTTTGAGACCCCAAAATCTAATCAGTTCATTGCTGATGTCACAACATACTCACAGGGTTCCTCTTTATTGAAACTATGAAATACAGAGTGGAGTCTGAGCCGAACTCACCTGTCCTGTCTTGGTATAGTCAACATTACAGTCTGGGATGGCCTTCGACAGCTGCACAATCCAGTTGTTGATCTTGTCCCTCCGCCGGCGCTCAACTGTTGGAACGACATTTAACACGAAGACTTTGATCATTTATAACATTCATACAGTTTTTTTTATCCTCAACCTCTCACATCAGACGAGAGCTCTAACCTTCGTTGTGCTGCGCTCGCCGTTTCTCATCTCTGGAAGCCCGAGGAGCCTCTTGCTTTCTACAAAACGGATTCAAACTCAGAGTTAAACGGAGTCAACGTCCCGGATGATCACTTTCAATTATAAGCAGCAGTTGCTATAAGCTGTTAAATGTTGATGTAATTACGCTATGTATGGCTGAGTGCGAGGTGCGATTGTCCTTTGATTGGATCCCGTCAAAACTTCCTGTGGTGACATCATGACGTAGAGCTGCCCTGTAAAACAAAATATTAATGTCAGCTGCAGAGAATAAGAAGAGCAGCATCTTAACGTAAAAGTCTTTATGATTTCATGCACCACAAAGTGTCAAAAAAAGAAAACTCTTGTTTCTCCTCCAAAGTTTGTTTTAAACGTTACATTAGGTTAATGCTTTAAAAAGCTGCATTTAACTCATTTAATTATTATCAATATTATTTTAAGTTCACAACCACTACTTGTATTTAGATTTTACAAAGCAAGCATCAAATGAAAGTAGTAGTAGTAGTTGTATTACATTTCTCGAGCAACAAGTTAGTGCATAAACACTTCAAATGCTTAAATATACATGTGTAATAATTACCTGTGGGTGTGGTCTGGCCCAGCAGTGTGTCGGAGGCCTGTACTGTGGTTACCATGGTGCCAGTGGTGGCGTCTGCGATGGTGGCGGGGTAGTATGTGTACTGCGTCTCACTGCTGCCATCTCCCTCCAACCCCTCCGACTGCGAGAACACAGCCTGATGTCAAAGAGACATCAACTCCACTGTTAGTCTGGCATTACACTGTTTAGCTGCTAGTAAAGAAATGAGAGATCAAATCTATCAGGGATATAAATCTGCAAGCTTCTGACATGGCAGAAAATTAAATAAGCATTAAATATTACAGGTAAAACCACCTGCAAATTTGTCACTTTTAAGGGTTTTTTTTCCTGAAAAATGTACTTTTATCTGAGGTGCATTTAAGAGCCTCTATAAAACAGCAACATGAAATCATGCTACGATTATTTTGACAGATATTGCGATTACAATATGAGTCACGATTATAGTAAGAAATATAATTTTTGCATTTCAATTTCACTGAAAAAAAAAAAAAAATGATGACGTGATTTATTTCTGTACCAAACAAGCACATCCCCTCACATCTGTAGAATATGATTTATAGACCCGGGCTTCTCTGTAAAACCACTATCCATTTATAAAAGGCATGTTGTGACACATTTGACCATTTTTAACTTCAGAAAAACTGCAGCTCCTGTGATTGGGATATTGCTCTTGGCCATATTGTGATTTCAATAATAATTTATAAATAATAATAATCAACCACAAATAAATGAGGGAACAATGAAGTTACAATTAAAAAGGTGATTAAATTAAAAATGATACTAGAACAGGAATTGTAATTGTGGTAATGGAGCTGGACGGAGAGTAAAGGGCTTTGCTGCTATTAGTACAATGAAATACAGTTACAACAAATGTGGTTTGATATTCAATAACTTGTAATGCCCAGTGGCCACCACTAGAGGCGAGTCAAAATCAACCTCCACTTAAACCCAGGTGTATCATCAGTCTGTATAAATGTTTGATGAATTCCTGCTGGTATGGAGCGATGAAGTGCTATAACTGAATCTTTTCAACCTGCTTCCTCTACCTCTAGACAGAGAAGATTTGTGTCATTTAAACTAAACAAAATACTATATTTATATTTAATACTATATTTTAGACAGATATCCTAAACAGATATGACTAGAATTATTCTCTTACGGTTGTTTGCCTCTGCCAGCCAGCCAAGATGCAACTTGGGCAGCCAAGATTAGTTTCACCAGTTCAGTATGAAACCAAATGTGAAACATAGTCACAATCTCTCGTTCTGTTCCTGAGTTACAGTGTTGAATAATGGCCAGAAATTTGTTTTTTGCAGAACATTATGATGCAACAATGAAGTTGACCTTTGACCTTCCACATATAAAAAGTCATCACTTCATCATTTTACGTGTTTAGACATTTGTGTTAAATTGGGTCATAACTATGGCCAGAAAACATGTTTTGTGAGGTCACAGTGATGTTGACCTTTGACCTTTGAGCTCTGACAACCAAAATCCATTCATCATTGAGTTCAAGTGAACATTTTGAAGAAATCCTGTGGACTGATGAACAGGTTTGATAACGCCTGACTCCAATTAGCTCTTGTTGATGTCATGAGACGAGTGGTTCATATACTTTTATCATGATTTTTGTCAATATTGTTTTCAAATGGGACAAGAACAACATAATGTTTATGAGTTAAAATAGATATGGGTAAAATAAGATAGATTTCTACATAAATGCAGGTAATTACAAAGGGTTTACTTATTTTTTTCTTGCCACTGTATGTTAGCCAGTGTTGTTCTCACCTGTGTGACAGTCTGACTGGTTGCAGGGAAACCGGTGACCAGGCTGACGGCTGCAGCTCCATCTGTCTGAGCCTCCAACTGGCCATCTGACACCTGGATCACTCTGTAGGTCACCTGCAACACAAAACATCACACTGAGTGGTCAATATCTCATTCCAGCTGAGGGGGACACACTATTGTAGAGCATACAGATACAGAATATACTATATAACTAACTTCTACTTTTAGGTCTCCATTAAGGGAAGTGGGTCACGAGAACTGAGACCAGGCTTATAACTGGCACAATTATCAAGACGTGTTAAATCACAAACATGATACGCACTTGCAATCTCTATGTATGATGGTAGAAAAACATTTTTTTCTGTATACTTCAAGCTCTCATTTTTGCCACAAACACTGCTGTGACTATAACAGACATGATCAGAGAACCTGATCACCCAGGACAGCCTGAGGGGGGACCTTGTGATGACTGCTCATTTTGGCCCTTGCTTTGTTTTATTGATTTGTTTTTTGGATATGTGGGGTGGAGGCAGGAGGGGTTCCCTTTTAGCCTCAGTCATGTGACCCCTAAGGTATTCTAAGGATCTTGTGGATTTGGAAGTGGATGTGTGTAGTGACATTTGGGAAATTTCAGAAAGTTTTCAGACCCCTTCTCTTTTCTGCACACAACTGCATCTGAAGTTCAATTTTGAAATGGATAAAATTGACCTTTTTGGCAATTAATCTCCACTCAACAATCCATAACAACAAAGTGAAAAGATGTTTAAGAAAACAAATATAAATATACAATACTATAAAGTGTACAAAAAGTCATGGGGTCACAAATTTTCATTAAAATTCACTCTGGGGTAGGTTGTCCTTACATTTCAAGGCTGTTTCTACAATATTGGTCCAAAATCATGTTGCAGTCAATCATGTTTGACTGCAGTCTGTATGTAATATCTCCAGAAAGAGTTCCCTTGAATTACGAGTGTATTTGAGGTTACATGTAAGATATCACAGTGAATATGTCATCTTAAGTCTTGGTGGACATTTGAAACACAACCTCACAGGTTAACTGAAATGACAGTTTTGACTTCCTCCTACCTGCCCGCCTGCTCCTTCCGTCTTGAAGAGATATTTGATGGGTTGGTCAGTGAAGGTGGCTGCAGACTGAATGGTGGCAATGGCTGCCGGATCTTCTGCAGTGGCTACGGACCCTGTAAGAGCACAAAGCCACATTAAATTAAGTCAACTTTCTACGGGAAAGAACAGCTTTAAGACAACTTGACACCATATTATTAGTGCTACAGGTTTCTTCGCAGGTTTGCTCTTACAAGGTAATGATATAGTGGCTTTAAAGGGTTTCACTTTATTGGACTGAGACACTTCAGAGAGGTACACAACATATAAAGCAATGAAAGTCTTGATCAGTCGATGACTTTAAACTATCAAAGACTGGCTGGTCCTGGGGTGTCTGGCTCATGAAAGCTCATACAAATTAGGTATAACATTGCCTCGTTACATGTTTAATAATTTTAAATACTTGTGCCTTTTCACAACACAATAGACAGTGAAATCCATTTACCTTCCTCGTTGACGGCAACACTCCCATCAGGTTCGGGGCTTTTCTGTTGGCTGCACACAAGTACGAACACAGCAGAAAGGTCAAGTTGTGGTTAAATTAGCTAACTGGCTAATTAATCAACTACCAGCCTAGCGTACCGGCATGTTTTTGTTGTTAACAGTTGACAATGGCGCATGTCACCGTCCCACTCACCTCTTCATTTCTGCCGACAGTCTTGAACGAGGAGACCGCCTTCACTCGCTCCCACAGCCAGACTATAAAACAAGTTCATAAGTTTGACAAAAAGACAGAAGAAACTTCCTCTAAACTACAGCATCTCGACTATTTATATGACTTTTATCGACAATGGCCCAAAATCAGAAGTTTAAACCTGAAACGATGTTAGAAGAGCGAAGGTATAGTAGCTAGCTGAAAGCTGTGCGAGCTGAGTCAGGGCGAACGTTACTAAGGGTGATAACGGAAACTGGCCTATTTCCGTTCACAATAAAAGCATAAGATTAGAGTGTACGAAACAAAAAATGCGTGTTCTTTCACACGTGCGACAAAAACTGCGGTATTTTGGAAGCATGTTCGATTAGTCATACTACTACTGTTTACTTTCATGTGTTATTACACAGTAAGGTATCGATATGTGGCAACAGATATTTTAATCTGGAAATTTGACCGGAAATCCAGTGTTTCACTATGGCTAGCTCGACACGGATCCTACCTTTCTGCTACACTACCAGTCGGCCCCAGCGGTTTTTACAGATGTTTAATAAAACACTTTCCTTTGTGCTAGCTCAGTGGAAGCAGCGCCCACAGCAGCTAACAACGATGTAAAATGATATTAAATGAGCTACATTATGCACAGAATGCTAAATTATGTTCAAAATATGACAGTCTGAACAAAGATCTACTTACGCCGCAGTGGTCCCTCCCCCGATATTTGTCAACAGACCTGCCTTAGTATCGACTATGCGCATGCGCCACAGGAAATTAAGTCACGGTTCCAGAGCCAGTTAAATATGAATTTTGAATATGAATTTTACATTTAAAAAAGTAATATTAATGATATGTAAGTGACAGTGCTCCACTTTTTGTGTCATATCACTTGTTTGTTTTTTTTATATATTTGTTATCATAGTAAAATGTCAAAATACGTTATTTTGACACAATAGTACAACCGGAAGTCCTAAATCTTGCTATCTTGATGCAGGTAAAATTACAGATTGTGGCCGAGGGGGTTCACTGTTGAGGTGGATTATCACCAGGGACTGTGATGGTATTATTGTCGCAAATTCCTCAGAATATTCACTTTAACATTTATATCTAACTACATGACTTAAATAAAACTCAAGTAGAAATACAATAAAATGAACAGCAACAAAATCAACACCAGATATTGTTCTATCAGAGCTATGATTCACTGATTTGCAGAAATAAGTGTTCAGTCTTGTAAAGACTAAACTTTGACAGCTTTACTCAGTGTAACTATGACTTTTGGTGTTTATGAGAGTATTTAACAGAATGAAAGATAGTAGGTCAGAGCAGAGGGGAAGAAAACACTGGACAGCGCCCGTGGTTCGATCCCGCGGAGGGATGGTAATCATCGTATCCTTGACAAAGAAATGTTGATAGAAGTAACCACTGAGCTAAACCAGTGCAACGATTACAGCAGGAAAATGGCTTTTTCAATATGTCTTGTCAAGATATGCATGTTGTCTCTGCCCGTGATTGTCGGAATAAGAAGGCGACTACTTCGTGTCAAAGTTGATTTTAGTATGTTCCTGAAGCTAAAACGTAAAAACATAACGGACGGCTACCAGCAGTTAGCTTGTCCTCTGAGGTTTTGTTTTGTTTTTTGTTTTTTTTGTTTGTTTGTTTGTTTTTTTTTGTTTTTTACCAAACTTTATTTAAACTTTGGAAGGTTTACAGTAACACAAATGGCATGGCTCAAATCCATACAACTTCAACCAGACAGGCATCAATCAATGATCAGACACACAACAACAAAGGAGGAAACAAAAGTAAACAAAATAATATTAAATAAATAAAGATAAAATAAAATGAATAAAAGATGGAGGGATTCTTTGTAAGTTCAAGATCATCCACCAAACTGCAGAGCCTGAAATTATTCTTCCTCTCCATCAACTTCAGAGAGGAAAAATAATGACATAGCTCCATGTGAAAAATGTTGCAGTTCAGTTATCTTGTCCTCTGAGCTTCAATACAAAAAATTGAGTTTGGGAATAATAATTTAATACTTTTAGAAAATTATTTTGTACAAAATTGTAGTTTAAAAAAAAAGAAAAACAAAATTATAGCTACATTCAAATGAGATGATATATAAAAATAGGCTATGTGAAATGTTGTAACATTAAAAAAGCCCTATGAGTATCTATGACAATAATACCTGCTGACCACTTGTTTGTTCCATTATTTTTATTTTTACTTTGTTTTTCTTCTTGTTTATTATTAAGGTTATTATTTTTCTATTCTGATCTGTAATTATGTTGAATGTGACTTGTGCCTTTTTGATTGTATTGTAAAGATTGTCAATAACAACAACAAAAAAAGCTTCAATATGTTGTTGAATTTACTCTTCATCAGGATGCGTTTCTTTACAGGGATATTGCCGTGGAGGAGAAGTGCTGTAACTCAATAAGCAAGAAAGCACTGGACAGCGCCCGTGGTTCGATCCCACAGGGGGATGGAGATCAGTGAATTCTGCACAGAGAGAATTGTTGATTGAAGTAACCACTGAGCTAAACCAGTGCGATGGAAGAAGCAGGGAAATAGCCTTTTCAACATGACTTGTCAAGAAGGGTGTGGGTTGTGTATGTTTTCATTTTTGCTTTCATGGGGGATGGAAAATATATATTGACGCATTAATAAATATATAAAAATGCTGAAAAATGAATAAAATTACACAAATCAAATATGAATCTGAAACATAAATAAATAAACATTTTATGTGGGTTATTCCTACATTTTAACAAATTTACATTTGTTTTTAGCTGTATGTTTATACTTCTGCTTTTATGAAAAAGTTTTGTGTTTTTCTGTGTTATTTGTTTTATTTTCATTCTTAGGACTTGAGGATCTGGTCATATTTTAGGTTCAGCTGTTTGTAGGAATGTAGAACATTTTTTAAACGGTTCACAACCTTTCTAGCACCACTGTACCTGCCCACCAAACAGCAGACAGACAGACAGACAACTAGCTGATGATCATAGTGGAGAATCCACAGCAGCGTAAGAGACAGATATCACCCTCAGGAGGTGGTGCTGGCACTTTGGGCCGCACCAGAAAGTGACTATGTGGTGAACATAGTTTGGCATAAAGAGGTGAAGAGAAACTCCTGAGGAAATACAACATGTTTATGAGAGTATTTAACAGAATGGGGAAGAAAACACTGGACAGCACCCGTGGTTTGATCCCACGGAGGGATGGAGATCAGCGTATTCTGCACAGAGAGAATTGTTGATAGAAGTAACCACTGAGCTAAACCAGTGCGATGGTGATGGCAGCAAAATGGCCTTTTCAAAATGACTTGGCAAGATGGGAGTGGTTGTGTATGTTTTGTAGGTAGGAAACAGGAAGTCCCAATGGATGCTAAGGTTGCTCCCTGCTTTAAGTAGGATAGTTGAAGTCATTTTTTTTCTATCTTTTGTGCAATGAACAAAATACAAATAATTTTGGGCCATAAAAGGGAAGGAATGATTTTTATTTATATTTATTTTACCATGTCTTCTCAACTGTAACTGAAGTTCCTTTGACCAGCCCGCCCCCCACCACCCTGCTTCTCTTTCATTGTGATATCCCCTTGCTGAGTTTGGTAGAAAGCAACATGCACACTTCCTCTCTCTGCACATGTTCACATGTTCTTCTATATTCAGCCTGTAAAGAACCGTCATCTCCAAACTGAAGCAGCTGTTATCTACAAAACTAAAGCTGACATTCCTGCACTTTCCCATGAATAGTGGTGTATTTTCTTTTTTTTTTTTTTTGTTTATGTTATGACCTGTGAACAAGTTGACACTTTTTTTGCAATAAACTCACTTGAGTGGCATCTGTTGCTGGCATGTGACTTTTTTTTGTTTCATGTTTTGTTATAGTTCTGTATCACGTCTACATTGTCAATTTGATAATGTAGTAGTTGAACCCACAAAGGTTCTTACTCATAATGTGTCATTCCAACATTGTCACATTCTGTTCTACGTGACGTCACAAACCCACAGAATTAAGGCAGAAGAACCTAATACTTCACTCACAGTCACGTCTGACCAGTCAGTCATGCATTTTCTCAAATATTGATATTGAGCACAATTACAAAAAATAACATGGACACTAACAATCTTAATAGTTTGGCCTCTGAAAGTGATTCAGGTGAGTGAGAAGTCTTTGTAAACAGCTGCAGCTACTTTTCATCAAGTCATTTTGTCTGTAGTTCAGCGTATTTCTTGTTGAAAAAATCAAGTGCATTAAAAGCATTTCAACCTGATTTGAAAGCAAGTTAAGTAAATATTTCTTGATTTTAATTTTTCCTTGTGTCAAGCTACAGAAACTTTTGCATTTGCTTTAATAAAAAACAAGGTTTTTAAAATTTGAATTATAGACAGAATGACTGGAGTTTAATGGTAATATGGTTTTGCAGATAGGCTACACTTTGTAGGTTAGTGAGTTGCTGGTGAATAATTGTGGAGATGATGTAAGGAAAATTCATTTAATTTAAAAATGTTGGTGATGAACGTCACAGAATTTTGCAGAAAACTCCAGTATCAACATGATAGGACTGGAGATTCATTGGTGAGATATTCAGTGAGTTTGTGCTTTTTGTAGAGAGCGGTGGCAGCACCAGCCAACCCACCAACAGCCTGAGGGACAATCCTAACAAAAGGAAGGTCAGCACCGACCAGGAGTCACCCAGGAAAAGTCGGAGGAGTGTAAGAAAACCCACTGAGGAGGCAGCTGAGGCAAAAGGCACCAAGAGGAAGGCCACTGAAACAGAGACACCCAGTAAGAGGCAGAGGGATGGAAATACAGACGCTGACTCCAGCAACAGCATCGGTGAATCAAACAAGGTGTCAGTGAACGTCACAGAGGCCGGTGGTAAGAACGCCACTTCCTGTTAATCGACTTTCAGTGGATTCTTTTTCTGGTGATACGATCATCTTGTTCTTAGAAATTGGCTTCAAAAGTTTGGGAAATGAAATTTTGAGTGTCTCACCATTTCAAGACAGTCAGGGAGTCCTGTCTTTGTCTCTCAGATAGAAAACCTACAGAAAACCTCAGAAACCACATTTCATTTACTTAATGTGATGTAATCAGTATTTTCATCTTATTCGAGTACAGAGAGTGAATAATCACATGCCCCAAAAACTTTTCCAAAGATTAAACAAATTAATTAAAGTTATAGTATGTAACTTTCCTCATTAAAATGTCTAAAAGTAACTAGACCTATGTTTATATATGTCGAGTTGTGTTCTTACATTATCCCAAATGTTTCCAGCAATTCTCAAACCAAGAGAAATACATGATTTTAATCTTTCATATCATATCCTTTATGATCATGTGTCAGTGTTGTGGTTTCCTGCGAGAAACTGAAAATATACTTTAATCCAGTTTAAACTCACATTTCATATTCACTTTTTACACCTCTGTCGTTTTCAACTCTATATTTGAACCAGATGAAGGATTTTAGTCATCGGACGTCTGGATCTGAAGTTATCAGAGAAAAAAGTTGAGCTCAGCTCAGACCCCGAGAGGCAGAAGTTACATACTGTGGACCTTGTGTTAATATATTAAAATATTAATCCTGCAAAAGTCTTAAAATCCTGTCTTAAAATAATCATCAATTTAAACAGGTACAGGGGTCACAGTTAGAGGTAGTGATGTGATCAATAGACATTTTTCACATTTGTGTTTGTGTGTAGATGATTTCGAGGACAAATACCTGCAGCTGGACAAGCTCGGAGAAGGAGGCTTCGGATCAGTTTACGCTGGCAAAAGAAAAACTGATAATTTACCGGTAAGTATAACGTACAGTCCGTATTCTCACATCACACACACTGAACACACACGGTCACCGTCACCAAAGTGTTCGTGGTTCTGACCTGTAGGTGGCAATCAAACACGTCCCTAAAGCAGATGTGGAGAGTCGACCAATGGTGAGTGACTTGATCTGATGTCTCGGCACCAACAACACACACACACACACACACACACACACACATACACACACACTCACTGATACGACCCATAGGAGTGTTTCCTGAAATGGTTGTCATGGTTACAATTATAAGCGTGCGGACTGTACCAACAGTGGCGTACGTACCTTCATCGCCATAGATACTGTAGAGAAGATGAAGAAGATGAGAAGATAAAGATGGGGATTTGGGTCAAAATAAGTACTTCTTCGACACTACACTGTATTTGTTGTCATGGTTACAATGTAAACAGCTGGTTTCACACGGGAATCTTACACACCGCAACCTCCTCGTAACACGGACTTTGTCGCCGCACTTTTCCTTTTGCTCCTGTCATAACTACTGCAACCACTAGATGTCGCCTAGCAACGAAACGTAATTATGGGTCATAGTGGTGTGTGTGTGTGTGTGTGTGTGTGTGTGTGTGTTGTTACAACTAACCCAGACTGTAGTCATGAACTAGCTTACCTTACAGCTAACAGCTAAGACATTAGCACTCACAACTAGCATGAAAGATATCCAAATAGACTCACGATAAACACGACTGACGTTTGAAGAGAAAGAGAGGCAGAGAGAGTTTAACTGTTTCATTTTCAGGTAAGAAAGTTGTTTTTTTTCCCCCCTCATTTATTTTTGTCTTTCCCTCTAAAATCACCTGTGTCTGCCACAAGGTGCTACCTCCTCACATGTGGAATAAAGACTAAATTGAGCAGGTGTAGAGTGAATCAGGTGATACATAACTTGTTCCTGATTGGAGAAATTGAAGGTGTTACAACTGACTAGTGTTTTGTTTTTTTCTTTAGGTCCTAAATAGGAGGATCCGCATGGTCCCCATGGAGGTGTTCCTCATGCTGAAAGCGGCAGGTGGACCAGAGTCGGTGGGCACATCTGCAGCCGTGTCATTATTAGACTGGTATGAACGAGAGCAGGAGGTTCTTCTGGTCATGGAAAGACCACTCCCCTGTGTGGACCTGCTGGAATACCTACAGGACAACGACGGGCCCCTGGAGGAAGACGTGGCGAAGGTACTGAAGCTGGTGGAGCCTGTTTCTGTGTGTGTGTGTGTGTGGGGGGGGGCTAAAAATTTGAATTTGATTACCACTTTATATAATCATAAAAGGTTCTTTAAGCACCATCATTTCTACTTCTTCTGTGTTTTATTTGAAGTATTGATTCATAAGAAGATATATTTGTGGTTTTAACAACCAAAAACCATCTCAGTGTAGTTTTACATCTCCTCTCTCAGGCTTCTCTCTGGAGCTGTAGTAACAACAGGTCACTGAGCCAATCAGAAGAGAGGAGGCTCTGAGCATCTCTTCTGATTGGCTGAATGTTTTCTGAGTGGTCTAATAAAAATGTAGCAGATTTCAGGTAAAACACTCAGAGAAACCAAATCCTGCAAGGTTGGATGATGGGTCCAGGTGGGCGGAGCTTGGGGAGTGGCTGAGAGTGGTGACTGCTTTGTTGTGACATCACAAAGTTACAGAAATCCTGATGGCCTTTTTTGAGGCTCAATTTCTGAATACAGGCTGTGTGCATTTCTTTGTGGACTGAGGCTTTGATACTTTCACAGTATTAATATAGAACCTAGACCTGATCTATAATCAAACAACACATGGACAGAGACCTTTATGCTATATGGGACCTTTAAGTTGTAACTAATGGCTACTGGTTGAGAAAACAATTTGACTCTTGACTCTTTATCTCAGAACATCATGAGGCAGCTGGTGGAGGCAGCCAGAGAAATGCATTCGAAGGGAGTCTTCCATCGTGACCTGAAATCAGAAAACATTCTGATAGAAACCAGCTCCGACGGCCCTCGAGTGCGGATCATAGACTTTGGATGTGGCTGCGTTGTGAGGAGGAGACCTTACCGCTCCTTCTCTGGTACGACGTCTGGCCTCTGCTCCTGCGTTTCATTCATCTGTGGATCACCTGTTGATGAGGAAATCTTAGTCCGCTCCTCATCCTCCATCTCCATCTGTCTTGCATGTTGCAGGAACCTCTGCCTACGCTCCTCCAGAGTTTTACATGGATGGGACGTACGAGGCCGGCCCCACCACAGTCTGGCAGTTGGGGGCACTGCTCTATGAAATGCTGGATGGATTCAAACAGTTCTTCACCCGCAAGTTCCTCCGCAAGGGAATTAAAATCAGCGGCAGGCTGTCCCATGGTAAGACAACACAGGTACTCAACACAGTAGAGTACTGTACAGCGTGCATCTTTCTTCCATGTCACAGTGGATCACTGCAGCTTCCAGCCTGATCTGTTCTTTGTTCTCAGACTGCCAGGATTTCTTGAAGATGTGTTTGGTTGTAATCCCTGAGGAGCGCACCACTCTGGACCAGATCCACCTTCACCCCTGGTTCACATGATCCTGCACTACCTGTAATTGCACTGGGTCTGGAAAAGTACAGTGCATTCAAAATAGTTCATAATATATATATACATTTCCCTCAAAAGTGAATTTAAATGATTTCAGCATAAGGTTGCAACATTAAAGGGGGTGTGAATACTTTCTGAACGCACTGTGTATGATTTGTGAACCTTGTCTTGTTTATGCTTGAAAAACATGCATTATTAAAATGCTTTTTGACACCAGCATTGAATCTTAAATGATAAACCTTAACTGGTTTCTTTTTGAGTTAGTACATGGTCCACCAACCTCGTCTTTCAACTTCCCAGTGGGAATCAGTCGGGTTTTGTAGACTGCCATCTTTCTTCTTTTCTTTTTTTTTTGTTCAAACTTTTATTTAATCTGGTAATCTCACTGAGATCAAGAGAGACCAGAGAGAAAGAAAAACAGACAAAACCAGGATAAACACACACAACAAACATAAACAGACATAATTAAAATCCTCTGTAATTCACTCAAACTGCTCCTATAAACCACCTTTTTACACAATAAAAACAAGGTTGTTCAGTTTTGTTTCCCAGAACTTGTACCCTGTAGTACGGTGGCTGACAAGGACAAAGGAGTTGCAACGGCCCAAACCAACCTCCATTACAAGAAACATGCTGCAAGTCAGACATTTAATTTTTTCATTTGCAGCACGTTTCCGTCATTTTTGTTTTGTATTTTTACACGTTTTTGCGTTGGCATTCATGTATTGGGATGTTGCCCTTGTCTGCCATCGTACTGTAGGTATTTACAAAAATACTAAATAATTGATCCTTCCTTTCCCTCACAATGGCCAGTAGTTACTCCCCTTGTTCCCCATGGTCAGTGCCTGTATTTAAGATCCAGCAGTGACTAGTGAGTATTTTATTGGTGCTTGATTCATACTGTATAGATTTACAATGTAAATCACAGGTTGTATTATAAAGTGCTACCAAAAGAAAAAAAAGCTACTGTTAGCACATTCGTTTATTTGCAATAAGAGTTCTCCACTCAAAGTTATCCGTTGAAACCAATATTTATTTGCTATTAAAGAATCAAAATCAGCATGTACATGGAACTCCTCCGATCTGAAAACCACAGTCTGCAAGCAGTTAGCTGTAGCCAGCGTCCCAGAGAAGAGTGTCTATCTTAGCAGTTACACAGAGTTTTGTATATATTTTTTGTAACTATCTGATTGGTGAAAAAACTTGGGGAGAGGCCATGGTTTAGACTCAGCTCTCCCTTCGTTGGTTCACAGGCCGGTCCCAGCCTCTTGGTACAGTGCCTCCTTCTTCTGAGCTGACTGCACCTGGACAAAAACCTACTCTCCCTTTTCATGTAACCGCCACTTGTCAAGTTTGGAGTTATTGTTTACTTTAAGCAGCTGAGGCGGTCACATGACATCCTGTTCTTCTGGTGTCTCCCTATGTGTGCGTGACTGCCTTGAGTTTCACCCTAGCGCCCCCTAACGCATAGCAGCAGTAATCATCATAATATAAAAGCAACACTCTCTTAGCAATGTAACATGACTTTTAACATTTCTCACACTACCTCCAGACGTCACACACACACCACACTAAAACCACACCGACACTTGTCAGAAGTTAATGTGCTGAAATCTGTGTATTATTTGTACGCAAGATAGAAAAATAAAAAAGAGAAATCAGACATTTATCTGAATACTGAAGGCAACTTGTAAAAACAGTGCAAATGTAAATCACTTGTGTATGGAGGGAATACACAAGAATAATACATGCATTTCTGTCGGTGGAAACCTCCACAGCTGATCCCTCATGTGGTCTGACTGTCTGTGACCAGGACCCTCCACAGAGACAGGATCACCACGGGCCACAGGGAGGTCGGAGTCTGGTGCAGAAGTAGACCTGTGGTGCCAGGACAGGGTTTGATTCGCTCTGAGGGGAAACACACAGAGAGAGGTGAGGCTCGGTGTCGATCACTTCCTGCTTCACTTCCCGCCCGATGCGGAGCTGCCTTCCAGAAAATCTAGTGGAATCACCTGAACTCATCTTTTGTTATTAGCTTAACATAAATATGTACGTTTGGTTCATTTAAAGTCAATTCAACATAAAACATTCACATTTTTCATGCAGCAGGGAAACTTAAAGTTTTAAACTGAACCACTTTAAAACCATTTATCACATAGAGAAATGTAACATGACATACAGTATTTGTCCTTATATATGTCACCTACTATCACCTACTACTTTATCCTCTGGATAAATGAAGATATAAGTTGATAACAAATATGAAATAGCCACAGTAATATTTGTATATGTACATATATTACATAATAAACAATTTCTATATGTTTCTATATGTTTTCTTATTAATTTTAAACATGTTTATCTTCCCATTCTGGGGAAGTGGTTTCAGACTTTTGGACCCCACTGTATGTAATATCAATATATACTGACAGGGTTTCGGATGGATATATATTTATTTAACATATATCTACAATATAAGCATACATACATAAACATACATATTTGTATGGGCTAGACATATATGTCAATATATGAAATTGTTCCAATTTCTAAAAGGTTTTATATATAAATTCTACACACATCTTCTTATTTTACATTAACATAGAGGATGTGGTTCTGACTATGTTTGCTGTGAACACACCGTCCGACGATGAGGATGGAAGAGATTTTGATCATCAAAAGACTCTGAATGTGACGTCACTGAAAGCAGCATGTGCAAAATGTCAAGGTTCATCAGTTTACTCTAGAGGTAAATGCTCAATAAACATCAAACTATCAAACCACCGCTTCCTTGTTTTTTTTTTTTGTTTTTTACCAATGTGAATCTTTCATTCAAAAGGAAGTTGAATATTATCATTTAAATGTCTCATCCGGTCTAAAGGTCTGTCCATGTGTAGTGTGATTATAGATCAGGTCTGGGTTCTATATTAATACTGTGAAAGTGTCAAAGCCTCAGTCCACAGAGAAATGCACACAGCCTGTATTCAGAAACTGAGCCTTAAAACCAGCCGTCAGGACTTCTGGAACTTTGTGATGTCACAACAAAGCAGTCACCAAGCCCCGCCCACCTGGACCCACCATCCAACTTTAAAGGATTTGGTTTCTCTGAGTGTTTTTACCTGAAATCTGCTATATATTTATTTGATCACTCAGAAAACATTCAGCCAATCAGAAGAGAGACTCAGAGCCTCCTCTCTTCTGATTGGCTCACCGACCTGTTGATACTAGAGCTCCAGAGAGAAGCCTGAGAGAGGAGATGTAAAACTACATTGACCACAAATAAATCTTCTTATGGATCAACACTTCAAATAAAACACAGGAAAAGTTCTAGACCTTTAAATTTTTCATAAAATAGTGCAGATGTTTTCTGAAACTGAAAACCTTGACTCATGACCTTCTGTCGCTAAATTGATTCTTTTCTTGGACGGACTGAAAACAAAAGCTTTACTCATCATCTTTGATGGTGATTGAATTACAAATAATCAATCGCTATTAAATCCATATCAGGACTGGATTAAACTGAATTAACCAGGTGCTGCAGTAATAGTGACAGTGTGAACGCTCAGCAAGACATTTCACGCCTGAAATGTTTATTTACAAATGGAGAACAATACTAACTTTTTTCTTTGGGTATGTTGCGGTTGATGGAGATTTGCTTTTCTTCAATCCTCTCCTTTCGCTTCAGGGTGCAGTTGTAGTTTAAGGTGTTTCCCAAATGACTTGGGAGAGTCAGCTTGCAATTATCATCGGTTGCTTTAAAAATCACGACCCCGCTCGACGTCATAAATGTACATTCAAAGGATGGAGAGTCTGGACAGCTTGCATAATAGCAGTCCAACCTTTAATGGATGAGAAAGTAATGGTTAGTTTTTTTTCACTTCATTTGATGCCAAAACCTGCAGCAAATGTGAATCCAATGAATATGACAAGTGTGAGACGAATGAGGAGACTGGATGCTTGAACCTTAAGCTTCTGTTCTTGGTGATGCAAGCGGTAAAAATGCCAAAGTCCCCTTGCTTTTTGGCGGTGGAACCTGCAATCAGATGCCATGTTGTTTTTATAAACCATAAATACTGTATTCAGCATTTCAAGATGCACCTACACTTATATACCTAGTTTCTGTTTTTGAATGGCTCTCTCATGATTTCTAATTCCACCAGGTGTTAAACATCCTAAATACAGTATCTCAAACCAGCAGGTTCCCAGATCTACAGCTACTTAGCCCACATACTGTACATTCTTTACTTGTATTGAGAGACAAACTATGTCATGGCAAAACGTTTCTTCACTTTTCCTTTGTAAAAGTTTCTCTCAGCAAGTTTGTGAGAAAACGTTTAGTTAGAAACTTTAAGTGCAACTCAGGAGACTCTTAGTGGTGAGATAAAATGTTTAGTGAATAGGGGCCCTGACGTTCACTGAGCCAACCAAGTTCTTACAATGTGTTTGTTTTCCTCCAAAATGTCCTGTCACTTTGTCAGGGAAAGATTGTGGTTTGGTTCAATACAGAAAAAGTTCACAAACCACCTCTCTGCGGAAGTGGTTTTGCCTAAACCACAAAGTTCTCAAATATGAGTCACGTGACAGTCACACGCTCTGTATGCCCACCATCCCCTGAAACCACCTCCTGTCCGCTCGACTGCATTATTGAGTCTAAGAATAATTACCATCTGAACATAATCCAGCTGTTAGTTTTCCTACAAAACATTTTCAACATAATTTCTGGGAAGACAGGGTTGAATCATGTTTAGGAAAATCCAATTTACAATTTTGACCAAATTCTCTTCAATCAATCACAAAGACAGCAAAAAAAAAAAAAGCAAGAAAACAAACAAACAAAAAAAAAGAACAAAAACAACTCAATAGTGTAAGGACAGAGAGTGAACGAGGGCCATGGGCTGCAGAGATATAATCCAATCTCTCAAATCTGATTAAGGCGGGCTCTGCTGATTGATGAGCTTGTTACAGAAGCAGCAGAAACCACCAAATGCTGTTAGCATCTTCCTCGAGCTAGAAACTCACCCACTAACCACCGTTACCACCATACATTATAAGATACATCCAAACAGATCAGTCCAATCACTTGATTGTGATATTAATTCGAATTAAAATCCTCCTTTGTGTTATATGAAGCGCACTTA